GAAACTAATAGAACTGAACTAGAACTGAACTAGAACTGAACTAGAACTGAACTAGAACTGAACTAGAACTGAACTAGAACTGAACTAGAACTGACTAGAACTGAACTAGAACTGAACTAGAACTGAACTAGAACTGAACTAGAACTGAAACTAGAACTGAACTAGAACTGAACTAGAACTGAACTAGAAACTGAACTAGAACTGAACTAGAACTGAACTAGAACTGAACTAGAACTGAACTAGAACTGAACTAGAACTGAACTAGAACTGAACTAGAACTGAACTAGAACTGAACTAGAACTGAACTAGAACTGAACTAGAACTGAACTAGAACTGAACTAGGACTGAACTAGAACTGAACTAGAACTGAACTAGAACTGAACTAGAACTGAACTAGAATCTGAACTAGAACTGAACTAGAACTGAACTAGAACTGAACTAGAACTGAACTAGAACTGAACTAGAACTGAACTAGAACTGAACTAGAACTGAACTAGAACTGAACTAGAACTGAACTAGAACTGAACTAGAACTGAACTAGAACTGAACTAGAACTGAACTAGAACTGAACTAGAACTGAACTAGAACTGAACTAGAACTGAACTAGAACTGAACTAGAACTGAACTAGAACTGAACTAGAACTGAACTAGAACTGACTAGAACTGAACTAGAACTGAACTAGAACTGAACTAGAACTGAACTAGAACTGAACTAGAACTGAACTAGAACTGAACTAGAACTGAACTAGAACTGAACTAGAACTGAACTAGAACTGAACTAGAACTGAACTAGAACTGAACTAGAACTGAACTAGAACTGAACTAGAACTGAACTAGAACTGAACTAGAACTGAACTAGAACTGAACTAGAACTGAACTAGAACTGACTAGAACTGAACTAGAACTGAACTAGAACTGAACTAGAACTGAACTAGAACTGAACTAGAACTGAACTAGAACTGAACTAGAACTGAACTAGAACTGAACTAGAACTGATGAACTAGAAACTGAACTAGAACTGAACTAGAACTGAACTAGAATAGAACTGAACTAGAACTGAACTAGAACTAGAACTGGACTAGAACTGAACTAGAACTGAACTAGCGGTCAAAACGGAGTCTCTTGATTCTACTTGACAGTTCGCGTGTAGTGAACTACCACGTAAACCAACCAGAACTCAACTAGAACTCAACTAGAACTGAACTAGAACTAAAGTAGTTGTTCCTAGTCTTCACTGTCTCACAGTATTTATTATTATGATACTTTTAAGCTTATGTTATGATATGAGCAACATAAAGTAGTAATAGTCCCAGTCACAGCAAGAAGTTATAAAGATGAAATGTATGATTTTCTTTTCCAAAAAATAAGAAAAAGAACAACAAAGAAATATAAGAACGACAGCAACAGTAACATAACACCAACAGCAGCTTAACTGAGGCATACAGAAAAATGTCAACAATGAAAAAACCCAACAGAATGAAATAAAATATTTTACATATTTTATACACAAATTTGTTGCAGAAAATATAGTCGTAAAAAAACTTTTTTTCAAAATAAAATATCTGCAAAATAATATGCAAAAATATTTATATTTTTTCCAAGAGGGAGTTGGCACATACTTGGAGCACTAAAACAAAAACTTCTTTTTTGGAAAATTTTCTAACGTTGCTATTCTTGCTATCGTGGCGATAGCGTTGTTTGCATTTAATGCAATGAGCAAATGCATTGTTGCTGCTACATTCATTCCACTGTCAACAACAATACATTTATAGTAGTATGCTCGTTCTGTTGTTTGTTTTCTATTGTTTAGCAACTGTCGCGCTAAGAACATTACGATGAGTATTTGTTTTATAAAAAATTTATTTAACAAAAAAAAAAACTGCTAACAAAGGCACATTTTGGTTTTATTCTTTAACAATTTTTACCAAACAACATTTATTGTTATTTGTTTTTGTGTTGACAGTTTGAAGATCTTTGTTTGTATTTTTTTAGCAGTTTTTCTGTTGCTATTTTTATGTGGCAGCAACAGCTTAGTAATAATTTAAAGTTCTTGTTAGCGAATTTTAGACAGAAGAAAACTTTCTTTCGTGGCAGTAATGATAGAGTGTTAAAATATGCAATTGGCTAAAAACTAGATTTACATTTTGTCATGTGTCAAATGTCATTTAGAATAAGTTTTGTCATTATGGCAGATAGATAGAGTTTTGAAGAGGTATAATGTTTATTTTATCAGAATATTTTTAGCTTAATGAAGGTTTTTTACTTAAATAAGAAACTAAAAAATATAATATTCGAAACTTTATTTTTTTAGGAATTTTTTCAAACTCTTCCTTTTAATAGTTTTTTCTAAAAATTTTCAAATTTTTTTTTTTCTATAGAAAATTTTTTAAATTTCAGAAATTTTTCTCTTTTTGTAGAAAATTTTCAGACTATTGATCAGTCTACTGTCGATACTATAGATCAGTCTATAGTCTCGCTTATAGACTGATCTACAGTCTCTACTATAGATTGATCTGTAGTCCCTAATATAGACAGATCTGTAGTCTCTAATATAGACTGATCTTTAGTCTAGACTTTAGACTGATCTATAGTCCCGACTATAGACTAATCTATAGTCTCTACTATATGTATAGTATCGACAATAAACTAATCAAAAGTCTCGACTTTAGACTGATCTATAGTCGCGACTATAGACTGATCCATAGTCGCGACTATAGACTGATCTATAGTCGCGACTATAGACTGATCTATAGTCTCGACTATAGACTGATCTATAATCTCGACTATAGACTAATCTATAGTCTCGACTATAGAGTGATCTATAGTCTCGACTATAGACTGATCTATAGTCTCGACTATAGACTGATCTATAGTCTCGACTATAGACTGATCTATAGTCTCGACTATAGACTGATCTATAGTCTCGACTATAGACTGATCTATAGTCTCGACTATAGACTGATCTATAGTCTCGACTATAGACTGATCTATAGTCTCGATTATAGACTGATCTATAGTCTCGACTATAGACTGATCTATAGTCCCGACTATAGGCTGATCTATAGTCTCGACTATAGACTGGTCTATAGTCTCGACTATAGACTGATCTATAGTCTCGACTATAGACTGATCTATAGTCTCGACTATAGACTGATCTATAGTCTCGACTATAGACTGATCTATAGTCTCGGCTATAGACTGATCTATAGTCTCGACTTTAGACTGATCTATAGGCTCGATTATAACTGATCTATAGGCTCGACTATAACTGATCTATAGTCTCGACTATAGACTGATCTATAGTCTCGACTATAGACTGATCTAAAGTATCGACTATAGACTGATCTATAGTCTCGACTATAGACTGATCTATAGTCTCGACTATAGACTGATCTATAGTCTCGACTATAGACTAATTTATAGTCTCGACTATAGACTAATCTATTGTCTCGACTATAGACTAATCTATAGTCTCGACTATATACTGATCTGTAATCCCTACTATAGACTGATCTATAGTCAAAACTACATTTTTTTTAAAGAAAAATATCGAAACTTTTCTCATTTTTATAGAAAATTATCGAAATTTATATTTTTTCTTATAAAATTTTTGGAAAATTTGTCTCTTCGATAGAAAATTATTGAAAATTTATCTTTTTATAGAAAATTTTCGGAAAATTCGCTTTCTATAAAACAATTTTCGGAAAATTTCTCTTTCTATAAAAAATTTTTCGGAAAATTTCTCTTTCTAAAAAAAATTTTTCGGAAAATTTCTCTTTCTATAGAAAATTTTCCGAAAATTTCTTTTTCCTTTAGAAAATTTTCGGAAATTTTTTTTCCTTTATACCCCATTTACACATACACGAAATCTAGTACTTATGAGATTTCGAGCCAAATCTACTTGATTTTAACTAGATTTCCCATACAAAACAAAATCTACTTCGTAACTAGATTTCGTTAAAATCTACTCAAAATCTAATAGTTGTTAGTGATGCAACTCTGTTTTTTCCTAAATAATACTAAAAAATACGACACTACACAAGAAAAAAGAGGAAAACAAAACAAACAAAAAAAATTAAAATGTCGACAAAATTTTTATAAATTGAAAAACATGAATGAAAAGTTAATCTAAAATAAAAGGTAATGTTGTATTTAGATATCTATTTTTTTATTTTAAATGGAATTTTGATAAATATCCCATTTTTCCTTCTTATTTTTCATATCACACACTTTTTCAAGAAATATTAGAAAAAATGAAATCTTCTTAAATGTCAAGAATAGTAAGTGTAAACGGACTAGATTTGGAAAAAGATTTTGAATGAAATCTACTAGATTTCGTGCATGTGTAAATGGGGTATAAAGGAAAAAAAATTTCCTAAAATTTTCTAAAGGAAAAAGAAATTTTCGGAAAATTTTCTATAGAAAGAGAAATTTTCCGAAAATTTTTTTAATAGAAAGAGAAATTTTCCGAAAAATTTTTTTTAGAAAGAGAAATTTTCCGAAAAATTTTTTTCCTTTAGAAAATTTTCGGAAAAATTTTTTTTCCTTTTGAAAATTTCTCTTTCTAAAAAAAATTTTCGGATATTTTTTCTTTCTGTAAAAAATTTTCTCTTTCTGTAGAAAATTTTCTTTTTCTGTAGAAATTTTCTCTTTCTATAAATTTTAGGAAATTAAATTTTTCTATTGAATATTTTTTAATTTTTTTCTTTTTATAAAAAATGTTTGAAATTTTCTTTAATTTTTAGAAAATTCGTAAATTAAATTTTATTGAAAATTATAATTTTTTAGAAAACTTTAGCAAATAAGTCTTTTTACATAAAATTTTTGTTAATATTCACTTGTTATAGAAAATGTTAAAAAAATTATTTTTTTATATGTATTATTTATTTCTCTTTTCAGAAAGTTCTTTAAACTCCTTAAATATTCATCAAACTACTTAATTCTCAGCCTTGTAACACCAAGGAAACTGTAAAACATTGGTAAGTTATACATCAACTTACCGACAATCTAACATTAAGGCATGATCCTTTTGTCCAGCCACAGAAATCATTTGATCCATGATGCCGCAGGGCATACCAACAAATTTATGCTCAGCTGCCTGGCAAATCAAGGCACGCTTGGCATCACTAGAATAAAACGTAAAAATTGCAAATAATGAACAAGAAATTAAAAATAATAATAAAAAAACATGGAAAACTGGCCATTTTAATAAAAATTACGAGAAAATACTTGTAAAAATATAAAATAAAAAAAAAAGAATTTTCATTTGTGGCTCTTGCTGCTGCTGCTGGAAAAATAAACATTATACTTATTGTAGTATTGTTAAACAATAAGGAGGACAACAAACGGCAGCAGCAGCAACAAGGAAATAATTTACTATACATACCTTTCCACCTTGTGACCGGTAAAATGTTCTAGAAATGTCAATGTGGCCATTTCAATGGCAGCACTGGACGATAAACCAGCCCCAACTGGCACATTACTCACAATGACCGCATTAAAACCAATGAATATATTACCACCATTACCACTGCCAGCCGTAGTAGTAACGCCAACAACGGTTTCCATGAAACTATGAATTACACCTTTTATATAGTTTGACCATCTGGAAAATTAACAGCAACAACAACAAAAGAACAATTATACAAAATTGTTGTACTAAGAGTTGTAAAATATTTATTTTTTTTTTTTTTTTTAATTTTAAACTTAAAATCTACCATTTTACCAAAGATGAACATTTCCCTGGTAAAATGTTAAATAAACTTTATTAAATGCCCACTTTAAAGTGTAAACTAGCAACAACTATAATAACGAGTATAAAAACAACTTTATGTTTGTTTCCCTATCATCCTTTCAGTCATTTAGTGGTACATTTTTTTCGGGGGTTCCAGTGTTAGTGTTTTTTTGTTCAGTTGGTATACAATTTTTTCTTTTTTTAATAACAAAAGTAAGGGAAAAAAAGAAAAGTTTACAGGTAAACTTTGTTCCTCGACACTTTGTTGGATAAATGTTTGTTTCGTTTGTTGGTTAGTTCCTTATAAAACAAAACTTTTGTTTTGTTTGTATTTTTCGGTTGTGTTTGTAGTCCTACAGTGGGGTACAGAATTGTTCATACAAAAATCTGAAGTTAGATCGTTGAATCATGATTACTAGTAACACCACAAAAGTTATCATTGCTCTAGAGAATACTAAAGACACTAAACTAGTGTTTTTTATATAAGAACAGATTCATAATAGATTTTGTAAAACCTTTATAAAATAAATATTTCTAGGAACTATAGTCTAGTCTATAGTCTAGTCTATAGTCTAGTCTATAGTCTAGTCTTTAGTCTAGTCTATAGTCTAGTCTATAGTCTAGTCTATAGTCTAGTCTATAGTCTAGTCTATAGTCTAGTCTTTAGTCTAGTCTATAGTCGAGTCTATAGTCTAGTCTATAGTCTAGTCTATAGTCTAGTCTATAGTCGAGTCTATAGTCTAGTCTATAGTCTAGTCTATAGTCTAGTCTATAGTCTAGTCTATAGTCTAGTCTATAGTCTAGTCTATAGTCTAGTCTATAGTCTAGTCTATAGTCTAGTCTATAGTCTAGTCTATAGTCTAGTCTATAGTCTAGTCTATAGTCTAGTCTATAGTCTAGTCTATAGTCTAGTCTATAGTCTAGTCTAGTCTAGTCTATAGTCTAGTCTATAGTCTAGTCTATAGTCTAGTCTATAGTCTAGTCTATAGTCTAGTCTATAGTCTAGTCTATAGTCTAGTCTATAGTCTAGTCTATAGTCTAGTCTATAGTCTAGTCTATAGTCTAGTCTATAGTCTAGTCTATAGTCTAGTCTATAGTCTAGTCTATAGTCTAGTCTATAGTCTAGTCTATAGTCTAGTCTATAGTCTAGTCTATAGTCTAGTCTATAGTCTAGTCTATAGTCTAGTCTATAGTCTAGTCTATAGTCTAGTCTATAGTCTAGTCTATAGTCTAGTCTATAGTCTAGTCTAGTCTAGTCTATAGTCTAGTCTATAGTCTAGTCTATAGTCTAGTCTATAGTCTAGTCTATAGTCTAGTCTATAGTCTAGTCTATAGTCTAGTCTATAGTCTAGTCTATAGTCTAGTCTATAGTCTAGTCTATAGTCTAGTCTATAGTCTAGTCTATAGTCTAGTCTATAGTCTAGTCTATAGTCTAGTCTATAGTCTAGTCTATAGTCTAGTCTATAGTCTAGTCTATAGTCTAGTCTATAGTCTAGTCTATAGTCTAGTCTATAGTCTAGTCTATAGTCTAGTCTATAGTCTAGTCTATAGTCTAGTCTATAGTCTAGTCTATAGTCTAGTCTATAGTCTAGTCTATAGTCTAGTCTATAGTCTAGTCTATAGTCTAGTCTATAGTCTAGTCTATAGTCTAGTCTATAGTCTAGTCTATAGTCTAGTCTATAGTCTAGTCTATAGTCTAGTCTATAGTCTAGTCTATAGTCTAGTCTATAGTCTAGTCTATAGTCTAGTCTATAGTCTAGTCTATAGTCTAGTCTATAGTCTAGTCTATAGTCTAGTCTATAGTCTAGTCTATAGTCTAGTCTATAGTCTAGTCTATAGTCTAGTCTATAGTCTAGTCTATAGTCTAGTCTATAGTCTAGTCTATAGTCTAGTCTATAGTCTAGTCTATAGTCTAGTCTATAGTCTAGTCTATAGTCTAGTCTATAGTCTAGTCTATAGTCTAGTCTATAGTCTAGTCTATAGTCTAGTCTATAGTCTAGTCTATAGTCTAGTCTATAGTCTAGTCTAAGTCTAGTCTATAGTCTAGTCTATAGTCTAGTCTGTCTAGTCTATAGTCTAGTCTATAGTCTAGTCTATAGTCTAGTCTATATCTAGTCTATAGTCTAGTCTATAGTCTAGTCTATAGTCTAGTCTATAGTCTAGTCTATAGTCTAGTCTATAGTCTAGTCTATAGTCTAGTCTATAGTCTAGTCTATAGTCTAGTCTATAGTCTAGTCTATAGTCTAGTCTATAGTCTAGTCTATAGTCTAGTCTATAGTCTAGTCTATAGTCTAGTCTATAGTCTAGTCTATAGTCTAGTCTATAGTCTAGTCTATAGTCTAGTCTATAGTCTAGTCTATAGTCTAGTCTATAGTCTAGTCTATAGTCTAGTCTATAGTCTAGTCTATAGTCTAGTCTATAGTCTAGTCTATAGTCTAGTCTATAGTCTAGTCTCTAGTCTAGTCTATAGTCTAGTCTAGTCTAGTCTATAGTCTAGTCTTTAGTCTAGACTATAGTCTAGTCTATAGTCTAGTCTATAGTCTAGTCTATAGTCTAGTCTATAGTCTAGTCTATAGTCTAGTCTATAGTCTAGTCTATGGTCTAGTCTATAGTCTAGTCTATAGTCTAGTCTATAGTCTAGTCTATGGTCTAGTCTATAGTCTAGTCTATAGTCTAGTCTATAGTCTAGTCTATAGTCTAGTCTATAGTCTAGTCTATAGTCTAGTCTATAGTCTATTCTATAGTCTATTCTATAGTCTATTCTATAGTCTATTCTATAGTCTAGTCTATAGTCTAGTCTATAGTCTAGTCTATAGTCTAGTCTATAATCTAGTCTATAGTCTAGTCTATAGTCTAGTCTATAGTCTAGTCTATAGTCTAGTCTATAGTCTAGTCTATAGTCTATTCTATAGTCTAGTCTATAGTCTAGTCTATAGTCTAGTCTATAGTCTAGTCTATAGTCTAGTCTATAGTCTAGTCTATAGTCTAGTCTATAGTCTAGTCTATAGTCTAGTCTATAGTCTAGTCTATAGTCTAGTCTATAGTCTAGTCTATATCTAGTTATGACTGCTTATGTAAAAATAAGGCAACTTGATCCAATAACTTGGACTTGTTATCGATCCCAATAAGTCGTGCATGTCAGTTACCCTCAAATTTTCCCCCAAGACCTCGGATTGATTATTCACATACAAAATCCAGTTACGTTCGCAGTTGACAGAAAACCCTTTACTTCATTATTGCATCTGCGTTTGAGTCCTTACCGAAGCTGCAATCAGATATCAAATTTGAATATTTTGTGTCATCAGTTACCCATTTTATTCGAAGAACTCTTCTTGATTTAACTTTTTTTGAACCCTAGAAAATATCTTGTAGTTATTCAATCAGAAGATTAGTTCAATAAACTCCGTTAGCCCTCTATATCTCCTTCAGCAAAATCTGTACCCAAAATGTTTCTTCACTCTGTATGTTTAAATAAATATTTATAGTACATTTTTGGTTTGGAGCATGTCGGAGAGTTTTAGTTAACTGTCTTTTTATCTGATTATACATATTTGTGGACCTTTGGGGGTCAGTTGTTTGTGTTTCTTTGGTTTGGTTTGTTACAAACCAAACAATAGTTACCTGATAAATCATAGTTCTTTATACATTTGTTTACAGAACTATGAATGATGATAAATACACTTAACAAAAATTTATGAAATTTATTGTGTGTTCGAAAGAATAAAGGTAAATAAATGCAAAAGTTATGGAGATAAGAGAGGTAAAAGGCTTTGGAAAAGTCAATTTGTAAGATGATACTGACCGATGTCAAAAGTGGTGTAAAAACAAATAAAATATTGTTTTAACTTAAAGACAATAAACTAAAGGATTTTAAATATTAACAAAATATGTTTGTTGTGAACATAGAAAGACAAACATCACAATGTTTCAGTAATGGTTCCCATTCGTAGTTGTTCCGAGACATTTTTCTCGCTGTATGGTCGATTGTTTTTCTTTATTTTTTTACTCGCTAGACAACTTCAGTCTATATTGAAAAAGTGTGTTATTTTTTATTTCTTTTCAAAAAACAATCACTTGTCCAAACAATTCAACCAAGAAAATATAAGGAAGTCAACATTTAGGAACCTGGCAAAGAACTCAGAACAACGCTGACTGAGTATCTAGCTTAACATGTGTAGGAAAGTGTGTGTGTGTGTGTGCATTGGGGTATTTGTCTGAATGTTTGCATAAAATGCAAATGTCAGTTTTTAAGGAACCAAAAAATCCAAAAACTACAAAAAAAAACACTAACCAAAAAGAGCAAGTTGTCCGTCTATTTACTAAGAAAAGCCAAAAATGTTAAGTAAGTTGAAATACAACATAGACGCAATGGCTGACAGCAGGGCAGACGTTACCCTGAGACGTACGGTAGCATGACAACTGGACGCATTACAAAAACATGTAGTTTTATTCTGTTCGTTTCGTTTAAAAACACAATTGCATAACGTTACTGTGCTACAAGTTTTGGGGCAAAACGAAAAACTATTGTATATTTTGCTGGTCTTTCTTTCTTTTTTGGATTTAAACAGTTTGGTTTCTTCCGTTTTGCTCGTTATTTTGCAATAAGAAAAACATAGTAAGACAGGTGATGAACGCTTAGAGCAATTCCTAAGTAATGTAAAACTGTAAAACTTTTAAATAGTCCACACTTTCGAAAAAAACCGAAGACGAGAAATGCATAAAGTAGATAAGGGAATAAATAGAAAATGCGCGTAGTATTTTCTTTTTGCATCTTTACTTTTACAAGTTTGTCTTTTTCTCTCTAGTCAATGATTAAGTTTGTTCTATGCATGCATAATTTATCCAGTTAAAAATAAAAAATTTTGAAACGTAAATTGGAGGACATTTTTGTGGGGACATCATTTAGGTAAATTAAGCTGAATTTTTTCTTTTCGCTGGCTATGTTTGCGTTTGTGCTTAAGTGAGTAGTAACAGCTTATCTTTGATTAAAGCAAAACCAAGTAAACATTTTAAATATAGTAGAATTAATTTGATAACGCGGAGTTTATATATTGTCGGAACCATTTGCAGAGTTTTAAGCAGAAAAAAGTTGATCTCGATCATCGTTATCATTAGTCTTAAACTCACAAACCTATATTCTTAAACATTCTTTAAATAATTGCTGTAGACTGAGAAAGGTGTCCTTTTTTCTCGAGAATTTCTCCTAACAGATCATTCCGATATCGAGTGGGATACTTTCATAAAATATAGCAACATTTTTTCCTGGCTTTTCTATATAATTTCTCTGAAGATCGCTCCGATATTGTCTTTGGCCTAAGAATGTTCCTATTTACCTTGCTACTCAGTACCAAGAAGAGAGAGAGAGTATACCACTGATGAGATCTTTTATAATGCAAACACATATTTACATACATATAAAGTCAGATTTATCTTCGAGATACACCTCACGATCCATAAAAATAATTTATTTATATTATAAATAAATGGTGCCCAAAATCACTATTCCCTATCACGCGAGATAGGGCAAGAATATTCTGCTGACGTTGCGTTGACTCACCTACACTATAAGCTTACTTGTGTATTTTCTTATTTGAGCATGTGATAGTTGATTATCTCTCAACTTGCAAAACAAAATCAACTCAGTTGCTGATCAGCATTTGTCGAAGTAAGATCTGTACGCAACTTTTTTAAAATCCACACAGAAATACAACAACAAAATTTTGAGAAAGCCGAATTTATGTAGGTGAATGAGAGAGCACAGCTGATAGTTTTTTATATATGAACTTTAATGTACGCTGTCTGTCAAAATCCATAATATCAATTTGACAGTTAGAATATACTTTTTAGTATGCAGTCATTTTATTAGTGTAGTTTTATTTTGGGTTACATTTTGTTCTCTGCTGCTTTACCAATACAAATGAATGTGTAACAGTGTGTGTATGGGCAACACTGATTTATAATAATAATTTATATTTATCATATCTTAAACGCTGTGAATTATTCTTCTCCTGGCTTTTCTATATAATTTCTCTGAAGATCGTTCCGATATTGTCTTTGGCCTAAGAAAGTTCCTATTTACCTTGCTACTCAGTACCAAGAAGAGAGAGAGAGAGAATATATCATTGACGAGATCTCCTACAGTGCAAACACATATAAAGTCAGATTTATCTTCATGATACACCTCACGATCAATAAAAATAATTTGTTATTTGACATACATATCTTAAACGTTGTAAATTGATCTTGATTCTTATACATTTCTCCTCATATTAATAGATATTGTGTTCTAGCAAACTTGAGGTGACATGGCGATACTTATTTGCATATAGTAATTCCGCATTTGAAGTACAGAAGATTTGAATGATTATCGTCATGATATTGACTATTATATCTATTATTGCATAGAACAGATCGAGCCGATATTGTCTCTTAGCTTCTTTGGTGTAAGATGGCGACTCTTGCTAGATATCCTGAAGATCTTAACTATGTGAAAATGAAGGATAGAAGAGAAACATAATTTAGCAGAAAAATAGCTTAATGTCCATCAGTAAACTGTCTAAACATACAAATCCATAAAAAGATGAATACTGGAGGAATAGAAAAAGTTGTTGCGGCAAAGGCAAAAACATCTTTAAAATTCGACTTCAAGGAAGGTTCATTCTAAGCAAGAATAATTTGATGACATGAATCTGGAAGGTCTATGGAATCAGTATTATCTTTTTTGAGCAATAACTGCTATTGAAGACATTCAGCTGATCTTTTCGTAAAAACGTTTCGCAGTAAATACATATCTGTCGGATACTTTGGATGCTTTACGAAGAAGTCGATCATATTCACCGACTTCTATGTCAGGTAAAGGTCTCAAATCCGGAAGTTGTAGTTATGTGTAAATAAGGATAATGAGTCGTCATCTTATACCTTAGAAGCTAAGAGACAATATCTGCGCTATCTGTTCTATGCAGTAATAGTTATAGTTGGTTATGAAGAAGACGATCATATTCTCCGACTCCTATGTCTGCTAAAGGTCTCAAATTCGGAAGTGATAGTTAGATGTAAATAAAGATAATTAGCTAGAGAACCACCCCTAGCTTCCACTTTCGTACAGTCGAGGACTCTTTATTTTAGTTTCTTTCCTTAGCGAGAGATTCGATAGATTTTGTCGACTTCTCTGCAAATAGAACAAACTTTCTGATATGGTTTCGATTTCGATTTTAGGCAAACGGGAAGCTCTATTTCTAAATTTCTTCTTAAATGTAGTTTTTCTTCTCTCTTTAATTTTCACTTAGTTCTGATCCTCAGGAGATTGCATTATCTTTCCATCATCAGGTGATTCAGTTTTTTGATATAAGACCTTGTTCCCTTTTATATTAAACTTGGTATTCTACTAATTTACTTTTCTCTCTCTTCCTTTTCTGTCGGAAGATTTGCTACATTTGGAGCTTTCCTTGGTAGAATATTGTAACCGTATTATAACCGGGAGCAATATTTTTATGAGTTCAGTTTGGTCTTATTCATTGAGATGGGTTCATCAGGGTTTGCAGTTCCATATCAGCTACAGTTGAGTTGAATAACGAATGCAATTGGTCCTTAGGTACATCAAAGGCTGTATGTGTTTGACGATAATGTTTTTTGAGGACCTTGGAGTCCCCACTACAGTTTAAAGGTTTGGTTGAGCTAGCCTTCTCATAGCTCTACATCTTTTCGCACAATCTGCTTGAAAATCAAAGACAGAGCTCTACCAACCGGTTTGAATTCATAGTGAAATTTATAAAATGATACAACCCGGTTTGTATTGAGATAAACTTTAGTCAAAATGCTTTAACTCCTTCATATTTAATAACCCACTAAACTAAAATTTACCAAAAAAATCAAAAACTCACTTTGGTTTTTCACCAGCTTGTAAATTAACTAAAGAAAATTTTCTACGCCTGGGTTCATCGGCTCCAGGACAGCAGGTAATTATGTCGACTTCATTACCAGTTGCACCGCCAACTTTACCTCCCACAATCACCGTTACCATTGGCAAAGCCTTTTCGAAATATAAACACAAAAGAAATAAAATAAAATTAATGGTAAAAGAAATTAGTCATTTCATTTATATTATTATTTTTTTCTATTTTCCATTTCTTTGGCTTCTATTTGATATTTAAATCTTTATATTAATACTATTTTTCTCTAATTAGTTTGTGCATATCAAATCTTAATACAGAAAAGGAAAAACTTTTAAAAACGAAGCAAACGAAAACATACTAACCATTGGCAAAACATAACCATCATTGTAATCAACATGTTCACCAATCAAATTAACACGTCCCGGTGCACAACAGGCCAATTCTGGCTCATGGCCAAAATTTTGACGAAATGTCGTTTTCGCCGTTTCCAGAATTTCTTCGAACGTTGGTAATGTAGTGGTTGACGTGGAAGGCATCTTTTAATACTTTATATTTTTTTATATAATTTTTACTCTTCTTCGTTTGTATATAAATTCTGTTTTATTTTTATTTAGTCACTTGTCACTAATGATGATAATGATGTTGTTGCTGATAGTTTTTGGCTTCTTTTGGGGCTTAATTTATTTTTGAGAGGAAAATTTTTGTTCTGTAATTATAAAATGGAACATTTAGTTTGTTGTGAAAGTTAAAAGATTTATTACAAATAATAACACTTAGTTTTAATTGTAAATTTAAAATTGCACTTGTTTCAAGCACAAGTATTTGAAAATTTTCAAATCTGCTTATTCAGGTCATTTGGGGTTTAAGAGTTAATGGTCTAAACAATTGGTAATTATATATAATTAACAAAAAACATTTTCGAAAAACAAGAGCCATTTTATTAAGATATTTAAAGTTGTAGGGTAGAAGGGGGATCATTCGCCATAGGGGCACATCTGCCAAAGCGAATAACTTGAAAACCGAGTAATCGATTTTATCGCATTATCAAATTTTATTTTCGTTTATCGATTATCTATCCTCCCTGAAAGTTTGAAAGATTAACTTAACATATGATGGGAGGCAGACGTGATTAATTGTTTTTCAAAGGGCTGTGAAAATATTTCACAGTGTGAATTTTTTGTGTTAACTTTTTTAGTTTTTGTGATAGAAAAAATATATTGGTCAGCGATAGAAAGTCAATAATAGTGAATAATAAGACATAATAATATTTTCGGTAATATAAGTTGAAACCCGAAAAAAATTTAAACTAAACCCCAGAACTGCCCGTGGGGCACATGCGCCAAATATATGTAATGCTTGTGATGTAGAACAAAATTTTGTTAAAATATAGAAAAAATCATTAATAATTTGTTTTAATTTTTTTTGTTTAGTTATGTGAAATAAACAAAAAATATCTAGTTTATTATACTTTGTTTAGTGAATTAAAATATAAAACAGCAAAATAAGTTTTTACTTTTTAATTTTTTTGGCTTATTTTACTAATGACAAATCTGCTCCATCTCCTTGGCGTATTTACCCCATGGATGGGGCGGTATCGCCGTTTTTGGTCGGTGCGGAAAAGTTAAAAAAAATATGTGTATGAGGATGACTTAGGAAAGATTGAAAGGGATAAAACTAAAGCCAACATATCTAAATATCCGAACCAAGAAAAAAATAGGAATATGTATTGTGGTTTTAATTTGAGGCCGCCTCAAAAAAAAAGTGGCATATGGTCCCCCTTCTATCCTACCTGAGATAGAACTGAACTAAAACTGAACTAGAACTCAACTAGAACTGAACTAAAACTGAACTAGAACTGAACTATAGCACAAGTATTTTAAAATCTGCTTATTCAGGTCATTTGGGTTTAAGAGTTAATGGTTTAAACAATTGGTAATTATATATAATTAACAAAAAACATTTTCGAAAAATAAGTGCCATTTTATTAAGATATTTAAAGTTATACCTGAGATAAAATTGAACTAAAACTGAACTAGAACTGAACTGGAACTGAACTAGAACTGAACTGGAACTGAACTAGAACTGAACTAGAACTGAACTAGAACTGAACTAGAACTGAACTAGAACTGAACTAGAACTGAACTAGAACTGAACTAGAACTGAACTAGAACTGAACTAGAACTGAACTAGAACTGAACTAGAACTGAACTAGAACTGACTAGAACTGAACTAGAACTGAACTAGAACTGAACTAGAACTGAACTAGAACTGAACTAGAACTGAACTAGAACTGAACTAGAACTGAACTAGAACTGAACTAGAACTGAACTAGAACTGAACTAGAACTGAACTAGAACTGAACTAGAACTGAACTAGAACTAGAACTGAACTAGAACTGAACTAGAACTGAACTAGACTGAACTAGAACTGAACTAGAACTGAACTAGAACTGAACTAGAACTGAACTAGAACTGAACTAGAACTGAACTAGAACTGAACTAGAACTGAACTAGAACTGAACTAGAACTGAACTAGAACTGAACTAGAACTGAACTAGAACTGAACTAGAACTGAACTAGAACTGAACTAGAACTGAACTAGAACTGAACTAGAACTGAACTAGAACTGAACTAGAAACTGAACTAGAACTGAACTAGAACTGAACTAGAACTGAACTAGAACTGAACTAGAACTGAACTAGAACTGAACTAGAACTGAACTAGAACTGAACTAGAACTGAACTAGAACTGAACTAGAACTGAACTAGAACTGAACTAGAACTGAACTAGAACTGAACTAGAACTGAACTATACTGAACTAGAACTGAACTAGAACTGAACTAGAACTGAACTAGAACTGAACTAGAACTGAACTAGAACTGAACTAGAACTGAACTAGAACTGAACTAGAACTGAACTAGAACTGAACTAGAACTGAACTAGAACTGAACTAGAACTGAACTAGAATTGAACTAGAACTGAACTAGAACTGAACTAGAACTGAACTAGAACTGAACTGAACTAGAACTGAACTAGAACTGAACTAGAACTGAACTAGAACTGAACTAGAACTGAACTAGAACTGAACTAGAACTGAACTAGAACTGAACTAAAACTGAACTAGAACTGAACTAGAACTGAACTAGAACTGAACTAGAACTGAACTAGAACTGAACTAGAACTGAACCAGAACTGAACTAGAACTTAACTGAACTAGAACTAGAACTGAACTAGAACTAGAACTAGAACTAGAACTAGAACTGAACTAGAACTAGAACTAGAACTGAACTAGAACTGAACTAGAACTGAACTAGAACTGAACTAGAACTGAACTAGAACTGAACTAGAACTGAACTGAACTAGAACTGAACTAGAACTGAACTAGAACTGAACTAGAACTGAACTAGAACTGAACTAGAACTGAACTAGAACTGAACTAGAACTGAACTAGAACTGAATTAGAACTGAACTAGAACTGAATTAGAACTTAACTAGAACCAAAAACTTTAAATATGCACTTTTTTCTTATTTCTCGAACCAGTAATATAATTTAATTGCTATTTTAAAAAATTTTCGCTATTATATGTTTTATTTGATTATTCTATCATTGATATCAATGTAAATTTGGAGTGCCTATGCACATTTATTTCTAGATAAATTTATAACAAGTAATAAAAGCATACAAAACGCTGATGAAAAAAAGTATAGAATATTTCCCACTATAGCTTTAACTTTATAAATTTCTCTTTAAAACCCAACATCTCTTTTTTTACCAGCAAAGATAAATAAACTACAAACATAAAGAGTATTATAAAGAATACAAAACAAACAAAATATGAATTGCAAAGAGTAAAATATAAAAAATCGTACAAAAAAGAATCACTCAGGAAAAAAACTCTCATTCGTACACTTGTCATAACAAAAAAATTCTTATTTGGACAAAAACAGCAGACAACAAAAACGGCAGAAATATAGACAACACCACACAGTCAATGAACTACAAAACTGGCCGGTATTTATATTTTTTCTCCAATGTTTTCATTTTTACCTGGTTTAATTTGTATTTGAATTGAAACCTTTCTGGTGAAATTCCAATCAAGAGTTATTTTTTGCTTTTGAATTATAAATGTGGCAATTTTTTTTTCGTTATTAATTACTTTATTTTTTGGTTTTATATATATTTTTTTTAATAAACACTTTTAGCAGTAGAATTTATTTATTTAATTTGAGGTTTTATTATATTTCGGTGCTAACGCGTAAAGAGCAAAACAAAAACTGATTGTATTCTGAGCATGTTAGAGGCAGATTATTAAAAAAATATATATCAAGAAAGTAGAAAAACAAAACAAATAATAATACAATTGTTTATTATCGCTTTTAGGGTAAAGTGATGCATTTTATTGTTGTTGTTTATTATTTGTTTGTTTATTGTTGTTTTTTAGATTAAATATTTTGATATTTTTTACTGGGCACTTGTTAGGAACACTTAGAAATGAGAACTTTATAGAAAGGGGATGCCAGATTGTTATTAAGAAGTTTCGGGGAAAGTTTTAGGAACTACTAGCACTACTTTAAGTTATAACAATCGGCAAAAAATTACTACAAGCAATGTCCGTCCATACTCAGCAAAAACGTTACTTTTAAAAGTTTTTTGTATTACTGGGTCTGTAAAGCCACGTAAATACTAAAGACTAGACTATAGACTATAAAGTAGACTACAGACTAAAATACTGACTAGACTATAGATTATACTATATAATAGACTACAGACTAGACTATAGACTAGACTATAGATTATATTATAGAATAGACTAGAGACTAGACTATTAACAAGACTATAGATTATACTATAGACAAAACTATAGAGTAAACAATAGACCATATTATAGACTAGACTATAGACTAGACTATAGACTAGACTATAGACTAGACTATAGACTAGACTATAGACTAGACTATAGACTAGACTATAGACTAGACTATAGACTAGACTATAGACTAGACTAAGGCTAGACTATAGACTAGACTATAGACTAGACTATAGACTAGACTATAGACTAGACTATAGACTAGACTATAGACTAGATTATAGACTAGACTATAGGCTAGACTATAGACTAGACTATAGACTAGACTATAGACTAGACTATAGACTAGACTATAGACTAGACTATAGATTAGACTATAGACTAGAGTATAGACTAGACTATAGACTAGACTATAGACTAGACTATAGACTAGACTATAGACTAGACTATAGACTAGACTATAGACTAGACTATAGACTAGACTATAGACTAGACTATAGACTAGACCTATAGACTAGACTATAGACTAGACTATAGACTAGACTATAGACTAGACTATAGACTAGACTATAGACTAGACTATAGACTAGACTATAGACTAGATATAGACTAGACTATAGACTAGACTATAGACTAGACTATAGACTAGACTATAGACTAGACTATAGACTAGACTATAGACTAGACTATAGACTAGACTATAGACTAGACTATAGACTAGACTATAGACTAGACTATAGACTAGACTATAGACTAGACTATAGACTAGACTATAGACTAGACTATAGACTAGACTATAGACTAGACTATAGACTAGACTATAGACTAGACTATAGACTAGACTATAGACTAGACTATAGACTAGACTATAGACTAGACTATAGACTAGACTATAGACTAGACTATAGACTAGACTATAGACTAGACTATAGACTAGACTATAGACTAGACTATAGACTAGACTATAGACTAGACTATAGACTAGACTATAGACTAGACTATAGACTAGACTATAGACTAGACTATAGACTAGACTATAGACTAGACTATAGACTAGACTATAGACTAGACTATAGACTAGACTATAGACTATAGACTAGACTATAGACTAGACTATAGACTAGACTATAGACTAGACTATAGACTAGACTATAGACTAGACTATAGACTAGATTATAGACTAGACTATAGTCTAGACTATAGACTAGACTATAGACTAGACTATAGACTAGACTATAGTCTAGACTATAGACTAGACTATAGACTAGACTATAGACTAGACTATAGACTAGACTATAGTCTAGACTATAGACTAGACTATAGACTAGACTATAGACTAGAATATAGACTAGACTATAGACTAGACTATAGACTAGACTATAGACTAGACTATAGACTAGACTAGACTAGACTATAGACTAGACTATAGACTAGACTATAGACTAGACTATAGACTAGACTATAGACTAGACTATAGACTAGACTATAGACTAGACTATAGACTAGACTATAGACTAGACTATAGACTAGACTATAGACTAGACTATAGACTAGACTATAGACTAGACTATAGACTAGACTATAGACTAGACTATAGACTAGACTATAGACTAGACTATAGACTAGACTATAGACTAGACTATAGACTAGACTATAGACTAGACTATAGACTAGACTATAGACTAGACTATAGACTAGACTATAGACTAGACTATAGACTAGACTATAGACTGGACTATAGACTAGACCTATAGACTAGACTATAGACTAGACTATAGACTAGACTATAGACTAGACTATAGACTAGACTATAGACTAGACTAGACTCTAGACTAGAATCTGGACTTGACTATAGACTAGACTATAGACTAGACTATAGACTAGACTATAGACTAGACTATAGACTAGACTATAGACTAGACTATAGACTAGACTATAGATTAGACTATAGACTAGACTATAGATTAGACTATAGACTATAGATTAGACTGTAGATTGGGCTATAGACTAGACTATAGACAAAACTAGACTATAGACTAAACTAGACTATAGACTAGACTATAGACTGTACTATAGACAAGACTATAGACTAGGCTATAAACTAGACTATAGACTAGACTATAGACTAGAATATAGACTAGACTATAGTCTAGACTAAACTAGACTATAGACTAAACTATACTATAGACTAAACTAGACTATAGACTATAGTATAGTCTATAGTATAGCAAAAGTAATTTCCTAATTTACAGAAATTTTGTAGCCATAATTAGGTTTTTAATTTATATCTCTGGCAACATTGCCCTTAATTAAGTTAAACCATCGCAATTGTCAATCGTGCCTTTTGTACACTTTCTCTATTATGACCACTGCATGTTCTCTCGCAAATTAAGAGCGTGTTTTAATACTTAAGAATCGAGAAAAAAAAACAAAATATAAAACAAATAAACATTTAAATCAGGGATGGAAAACGGTTTTTTCCAGATCATCTAGATAGTAAAGAAATAAATGCGTTTAATCACGAATTTAAATTTTTAATTATTTTTTTTTTGTATTAACAAAATGTATTTATTTCAATATGCTCGTTCATAACTCTCTCCTCATATGAACCTAAATCCGCTCAAATTTTAAAAGAATGCAGAATTTTAAAACAAATTAATAGTCCCCCCGTGGAATATGTATGCACTAACTCTGCAGTACTTTATAAAAACATGCTATAACAAAAGTACCTTAAAACATATAAATATATCCATGCCTGATGTGTGCACACTAAATTATGAGTACAAATCAAAGTCATTTAACAAGTATTTAATGCTATCGTTATCAACTCTTATCAGTTAAAAAATACATGCTCTCAGCAATTGACTAGTGAAGAGTGAAGGCAAATCCATGTTTGTACATTTTGTAAAATGTACCCACTTGTTGTTTGTAAACATTTCGTAATAAATTTTAGCAAAATAAATAAGAGATTGCAAAAAAGAATAAGTGGGAAATTAGGTACCATCATTAGATACCCTACAACGGGGACTAATATGGAGTTAACTAATTTTATAATAAAATTTTAATACAACTTCGATATTTTTACCAGACTTATGAGACTTATGGATCTAAGAAATCTTTAGCGGTGATTGAAAATCTGATCTTCAAAAACATGATTACATTAAAATTGTTTATGAGAATTCTATCATTATATGTTAATTTTAGATGTTAAATTATACTCTGAATGTGTGAAGACCAAGTGAAATCATATGTCGGATGTCATCATTGCCAATATGATATATACTGGGACAATTGAAATCTTACATATGAGAATGATTTCATGGAACTAACACCTATAATTTGATTACAAAATTACGACCGAATACACATATCAAGATTTCTAGGTTATTGTACGTCCAAGATTTATAGACGTTACAACTATTACCACAAACCCACAATAGGCTTCTTATAATAGTGATGTAAGTAATCAACAAGAAATCAAGTACCAAAAATACAAATAAAGAATTTTATTAATAATATTTCCCATGCATTGGACACTTTAAATTATATTGAGTGATCACGATTTAATGGATTCTTACTTTATAAATATTACATTAGAAATATTTTGTAACAAAACAATTTTGTTTTTGTATTGATTTTAAAATCCATGTGAGTATTGACTATACAAAAAAAAACCCCTCTAACTCGGGCAGTTCCTGACCGATCTGGCCTACTATCAAATCCTTCTAACCTTGGTGCAAATTTGATCCAAATTCTTTCAAACTTTTGCTTAAAAATTCCTTAACTACTAATGTCAAGAAATTAAACAAATTCTACAGAATATGTATGTATTAAAAAAAATGTCACAATATTTATGTTTCTGTACTTTTCAATTTACTTCAATGACCCAATCAATTTTGACATTTAACCTTTTTGGTCAAAAAGTTTTTCAAAAAAGCACTTCATCTTACTACCAACACCCAGTGCATGTAACAGGATAAAAACTACAACAATTACATTTTTAACGTACAACAAACGACTGCAACACCATCTGAAACAGAATTGAAAAAAAAAAAACAAAAATAAAAATCAATTTAAACTGTAATAACATATTCAGCGTATTTTTAATGTCTCCATATTCAGAACAGAGAAATATTAAAACAGTGGGATAGAAGAAATTTTTTATGATGAAAATGAATTAGACCTTCGTCGTCTTGAATATCCCAATATGTTCATACATGATAACTTTATTTCTAGTTTAGTTCTAGTTCTAGTTCAGTTCTAGTTTAGTTCTAGTTCAGTTCTAGTTCAGTTCTAGTTCAGTTCTAGTTCAGTTCTAGTCCAGTTCTAGTTCAGTTCTAGTTCAGTTCTAGTTCAGTTCTAGTTCAGTTCTAGTTCAGTTCTAGTTCAGTTCTAGTTCAGTTCTAGTTCAGTTCTAGTTCAGTTCTAGTTCAGTTAGTTCAGTTCTAGTTCAGTTCTAGTTCAGTT